TTCAACAAAAAAGACTAGTAAGTTGATAAGTAGACAGTAAAAACTCCTTGACTACATTTCTTTCAGAGAATATTGCAAATAAGTTGTTTCTGCTTGGAATACTGCTTTATGCACTAAGTTTTAGTTCAACCTATGGTAACATTTTGTCTTATTACTTCTTAATTTGTGAGCTTGATAGGGAATTTCTTTAAAAATCCTGTTTGCATTTGTACACCAGCTGAGCGATAGTTTCATTTCATTTATCTGCATTCTAATATCATTTTCTTGGCTTGATTGTATGAATAATAATATGAAGAAACCGTTTAAATTTCACTTTCTCTTTGTGTTCTTTCTGTCATCTGGCACATTTAATTTCCCTGGCAAAGAGTAGGCATACTTTGTGGCTTAACTTCTGAATGAAGAATTTGTTGCTCGTGACTGAAGGCTATGTAAAGAGTTCAGAAAGAAAGAACATGACTTGATCAGCCTTCTTGTCCTTTAGCCCAAAGATGGGTTTTTGTAGATAGTGCTTCAGTTCCATTTGGACTCACTTTGCCAAATGATGTGTTGTCTTTGAGATTGGTTCCTCCATTCCTTTTCAGATGGGTTGCATTAGTTGATAGCTGGAAATTTTCATTCATTTCTGTTGATCAAACTTGGCTGCTATAAGTGCAGCCATAAAATCTTTGCCAGATGCCCTCAAAATGCTATGTCTCAAAGTTTTTGTTGCCAGCTGTGAAGTCTGATGATTCACAGAGGAAAAGGATTGCTGGTTTTCAGGTATCATTTCTTGACAAGTTTACTTCTCTGTTGCTACTACTGAGAGATGTGTTCTTCAGATCAAATGGGAAAACTAAGTTGGAAGATTTTCTAGCACTCCTTTTACAAAGTATGTCTGAATGCTAATCTGGGCCAAGGCATGTAGCCTTCTAGAAGAGAATTCAGACAAATTCTATATTTCAGTTCTTTTCCTTCTGTTGAAACAATTGTTTATAGTATTGCACAAATTTGGAGAGTAGCTAAAGTAGGACCCTTGGCCCTAGAGATATGGTGATTTGTGAATTTGGTCTTCCATGATTTCTTACTACACAGAAATCTGACATGGAAGCAATACATTCCCGTAACCATTGCATGCTACAATGTACAGGTAACGTATGTGTTATTTTTTTTTTAATGCCAGACGGACCTTTTTGAAGTAATTAAAATTTTATGTGAGTTTGAATATAGTACACCACATGTCTTTCAGTCACTTTGCATGCCAGAATTTTGTGATGTGGGAAATGGCTCCAAAAACACAGTTTGGCTTTGTTTGCCAACATGTTTTGAGCCATTGAAGTCTTCAGAAAAATTTTAGTTTGGCTAATGAAAGCCTCCATGTCAAATTTATACTACATGGCTTCCAGGAGACTTCCTCGCATCTGCCACTTTCTTTTCTGCCTTTTGTTCAAATGTTTGCATTTTTAATATACCTGAATTTGCCTAGTATAGCACCCCTCCCCATAGGCATTTCATGTAAATTTAAGACAGGAAAAAAAAATTTTTTTGGTGGCTTATAGATGGAGTGAAATGAAAATCCAGCTCCCAAAAATCTTGTGGAATAAATCAGGGAAGACAGAGAGTCCAGTGGCTCTTAACCTTCGGCCCTTCTGATGTACTGGACTACAATTTCACAAATCCCTGTCCACTTGTCATTCTGGTTTGGGTGTCCTAAGAGTTGAAGTCCAGAATGTGTAGTAGGCTTCGCAAGACAAAATTTTTGCAATACGAAACGACTTGCAGAACGAATTATTTTTGTCTTGCGAGGCATCACTGTAATTTCAAAGGCTGAATAGGCCAGTGAAAGAAGAGCTATTGGTTAAACATAGAAGCCAGGTAGACATCAAAAAGAAAATATCTCATAGTTAAAAGCAAAATTCCTTTGGTCACTAGTGACTTTAGATATATATCTCTCTCTAATACTGTGCTGTAGTGCTATACTGCTCCATGGAACCATAAGGAAATTCAGTACTTGGTGCAAATTCTCACATTGCGTTTTCTACAAGCATCCTGTGCAGAGAGCAGCAAACAAAATACACTTCATTTCATTCATTAGTTCTTTCATTTTATTTTTTGATCCTGCTTTCTTAACTAAAAATCCCAAATTAAATGCTAAATGCTGAATTTATGGTTTTTATAGAAAGAGTGCAGGATGTGTTTTGTTGATTTCTATAGGTTATGGGCTTGTAAAATCTGCATGTTCTCTTTTTAAAAACATTTAGAAGTGACAAATCAGATGTCACTGTGGCCTTCCCTGGGAGGATTTTTAGTGGCATGGTTTCTTGCATCCATGTGCCCACTAGATAGAAGTGCTTTTTGATGATGTTTTCATATTCTTGCACCGTTATACAAATTTGCAAAATGAGAAGTGAGGATTGTCCTCAGGTAGGTGGGCTGCGATGCCCATTCCATTGCTAAACTGCAAAATACAAATATTAATTTTGGCTTAAGAACTCCTGAGCCTAAACTATACCTTTTCAGATGCACATACTTTCCCATGCCCACAGTGGTCCATATAGCAGAACTATCTCAGTTGGTAAAGTTGCCAGAATGCTCCCAGCAGAACAGTACATTGCCACAGAATAAGAACCATGGAACAATACTCTGAAAAGGGACTCAGGCCGCTTCTCTGGACCCCTCCACCCTTCAGAATGGAATGCAGAGGCTTCTCTTGTGTGGCCACCACCTCCAGTGCTAGTGAATCAGAGAATTACTAGATCATGCTGTTTGAGTTGTATTGTTATTTGTCAGTTACTATGACTTCTTTTTTTCCCCCTTCAATTGCATCATTCCTTTTAAAAATGGTGGTAAGTGAGAGATCTGCATGCTTTGGAGTTTGTTTAATCTCCGCTTCAGTCTATACAATGCACAGTTCATAATGTTAACACTTTCCTTAGTTTTCCTCATTCACGTTCACAACTAATTTGGGTTTAAGTTTGCTGTTGAATCCTTGTTTTCTAATTTGTACCATTTTCTGTAGTTTTCTTGTACCTCCCTTTTATCAGTCAACTTCTCTAGGATTTTGGTCCTTCTGTTTGTCTGCATTTTGTACCCTGCTGGAACTGATTTTGTAATGAGTAAGCAACTTGACCCACAAGCTAGTGACATACAATGGCTTTCTCTAACAGCCACATTTTTGGGGTGGGCATAGAAAGAAGGTGATGGCGGCCTCACCTATCCAAGATTTCATTGCACATGAACAGTAGAGACCGAGCTCTGGCATGTAGTTCACCTATGCTAGAATGCCTCTTTGGCTTTCATTTGTCAAATGGAGAACTTTGTTAGAAGAGGGATTCAGTAAAACCTTCCTTTGTAAGCTCAGTCTTGCACCACCTGAGGTGCTCAGAGGCTTGACTTATGGAGGATTTTGTGTCGTATAAGGTAGAGTTGCAAAATCCTAATGAGAAAGACAAGGGCCTGCATCCTTTTTGGAACTGGTTAACCAAACAATCCCATTTTATGTAGTCTGTGGTGTTTGAAGCAAGGCTTAAAGGAGAATGATTGCTTTAATATGGCACTACTAACCCTGCTAATCTCTAGGGAAAAAAAGAAACAAAACTAAGAACTCTCACCGATGTCTCTCATATTCCAGTCAAAGGCTCCCAAATGTACTCGTTTATATAATGTAGAGTCTCTAACATAGTCTGCCTCTGAGATTTTATGGGAAGTGAAAGATGTTCGTTTGAGGGGAGACTTAGTTTTGCTCTAATGTGCTTTATGTTTCAGTACCTGATGTGTCTCTGTATATCTCCACTGTATATACAGCACATTGATATGTCTGGTTGTCTTTACTAGTCGTAGTTCTCTCTGTACCTTGTTCTGATAGTTTGCTGTTAGTAACAGACTTCTGTGGACACTGGTGTGTCGCTAGTGTGTTATTTTGGCTGTAAAGCTGTTGGTTTGTGGTTAGCTCTTTTTCTTTTGAACGTTTTGTTCATTTTTTATTTTTATTTTATTTTTTGTTCTGGTAACTGTGCTGGCAGTGGCTTTACCTATCCGTTACCTCAAAGGTACAGGTGGAGTAATGTGCAGCCTTGGTCGACATTACTCCTGGTGTGTGCTCATGCGGTTGCCTTACACTGTTAAGACTGTAGTTTCCATAACTGCTTTGTGTGCCCTAAGACCCCTTGTGGAATCCTGCTGAGTTTAAAAAATACATATAGTTTTTTAAGTTTGGAAAAATGATGATGAAACACAGAAAGGGTTGTCAGTGGTACAATTTCTACAGCACAAGTTTGTAGATTGGGTTTTTCATTGCTTGAAAGGTACCTCTTTTTATGTGTAATGTATCGCAGCAATTTAAAGCATAAATGAAATGTCCAGTAGATTCTAAAGAAGCCTGTATGAAAAGCCACATGTTAACTAATTACTTTTCCATTTTCAAAAAATGAAAAAAGGGACAACTTTCTGGCTCTCCCACTTAGCATCAATCAAAATTGCCTCTTCCACTTCCTGAACATAATTTTATTCGAGACATCAAGGAAAAAAGTGTATGAAACATGGTTTAAGAGAGATGGTGGTATACTTGTGAAATCTTATACCAGTGTTTTGTCCGTTGAGAGTTGAGAGGAGGAGACTAAAACTCATTAATTTTAGAAACAAACAGCAGGATTTTACAACTGAAATGTTGGTTTGTCTTCTCATCTATCTTGTAAGATTGAACCACTGGAACTTGGGGACAAGATGAGTATGACCGCATCGCAACAATCTGTCCACTACAGTTGCAGTTTTTCATTATAAGCATTCAAAGTGTTAACTGAAACCATTTTGAATAACATACCTTGTCATCTAAACTCAAATCTAGACAAAAGTCAAATAACTTCATGAATCTTTGCAATACCAAATGGAATGGCCTTTAAATAAATGCTGTACATAGATGATACTGTGTGCTATCCACTGATACAAAAGTATGGAACTTAACTAAAATAATTTCTCTCTCTCTCTCTTTCTCTTCTTCACTGGGTCACAATGAATACCTTCTGCAGATGATGAACCAGCTGGACCAATGTAAGTAATTTGTAACTGATGTGGTTTTTGTCTCTCGAATCTGGTATAAAGATTCTCTAGCTATTTCATATTTCAGGGAGCCGGTGGCATTATAACTTCTTTATCATGGAGTCCTTCTACATTGAAAGGATTCTGGCATAGAGTACAGTATGGGTTGCCTTTGAGGGCAGCCTGGGGAGTTTCAATTAGCATTAAATACAGCTGCTAGAACGCTGCATGGCATAGTTTGTTTTGGTGATATTTATGCCACAACCATTTATGGAAGTTGTTGACTACATTCCTGTTCTCTTTCCAACCCCAGTTCAAAATGGGACAGTGCTTACTGTCTTAATCAGCTCGCAGTCCAGGTGTTTGAATAAGGTTCAGTTCCTTTTTTATCTTTTCCAAGAGGTTTTGCTTTTGCCCCCCCCCCCCCAGGCAGAAATGAAGTAGAGGCCAGCATGGGATGTTCTGTTTGTAGCCCATACACAAAGAAGTCCAACATTATTATTCAAGCAATAGGGAGAACTTTGGCTCACTTCTTTATTTGTGAACCTTTTACTAAGATGTTTTTAAACTAGTTGTATCTGCTGCTCTTCTTTTGTTTTATTGTATTGTGTCAGTCCATAGAAGAGCCATAATGTATAAACCACATTGCATTTAGACCAAGAACTATACCTATTTTAATGCTTGAATGTGTTTAATTTGTCTTGTTGGCTCTGTAGCCAGCCTTGAGATCCTGTGATATAGGGTGGGGTATCATTTTTTTAAATAAGAGAATAAAAATAATTATATATTTTGAGTTTGCATTTACTTCACGCGGAACACTGAATATTTCTTTGGGGCCTCACCCACACTGCACTTTGTGAAGTGAGCAAAAGAAGGCTAGTAATAGGAAGCAAACTGTCCTTCATCAATATTGCTTTGCTGCTATGCAGGAGCCCTTTATAGGCCTTCATGGAAGCCCAGAAGTTTCAAAACAGTATTGAAAAAATTGTTGTTGTTTTTGTTTATTTGTTCATTTATTTATTTATTCAATTTATATACAGTAGTGCTTTGACTTATGGCCATAATCTGTTCCAGAAGATGGGTGTAACTCAAAATTGTTGTAAGTTGAAGCATCGTTTCCCATAGTAATGCATTGGAACACGATTAATCCATTCCAGACAAAAAATAATAATCACCAAAAAAACACCCCCACTCCAAGCCCCATCGGAACACAATGGGGCTAAAAAAAAAACAAAAAAAAAAAAAAACCACACAACCAGCCCCATCGGAATGCAATGAGGCTGAGGAAAACAAGAAAAAAAACCCGCCCCCCCACACACGCATAGCCAGTCCCATTGGAATGCGATGGGGCTGGGGAAAAACACACAAAAACCCAGAAACATAACCCCCAAAAAAACCCAAACCCACCCTGCAAAACCCTGTAAATGTACTCACCCAGAAGCAGAAAGCAGGACCAGGCAGTCTGAAGCCTCTCTGCAAACATGTGCACGCTAAACGTTGGGGTGAAAGAGCTACAAAGAAGCTCTTTGTCCACCAACAGTTAGTCCTGTAATTTGAATTCCCAGCCTTTTTTCCCTGCCTCTTGTGTTTGTAACTCGAAGCTCTGGCTGTAAGTGGAAGCAAAATTTTGCAGCTTGAGCTGGTCGCAACTCAAAATGGTCGTATGTCGGGACGTTCGTAAGTCAAGGCACCACTGTACCAACTGTCTAGCTAAAGGCCATTCTGGGCAGTTTACAACATGTTAGGCATAGTATCGTGCAAACTCTCTATGTTTTGACTCTTAGTGCATCTAGCCCAGTATTATCAGATTTGCCTGGCATCAAAGATTCAGACAAGATTCTTTCCTAACTTGACAGTGGTGCATTTGGGTGGGATGGTAGAGATATGAAAATGTTGGCATTTAGAGGGTTGGCTGATACTGCCAGGATTTCAAATTCCATGAAAAGATGGGGTTGCTCCTGGTTAGTGAAATTCTGGCTGTACTCAAGACTTAAGCTTCACCCTGTTGATTCTTTCTCTTGTCTGTTATTCAGCCAGGGTACGACTGTAAGATAATCTGGGACTGCCCTTGTAGAAGGTTCAGAAACACTTTGCATCCAAAAGGCTTTGGAATTCTTATGTAAAACGTGCTTCAACTTTTCTTTCCTTTGTTTGTATCAGACTGTTGTGTAATTTAAAATTATGGACTTTTATGAAATATATGCAGTACAATGCTTCCGGAAGTGAATGATTGGCCAGCTGCATGCCTTTGCCCAGGGGATGCCTGAGTTTACTCACAGTGCTTTCCCACTCTTCAGGGAGGCTTCTTCTTTTTAATGGTTCTCATCTTCTTGTTTTTTGTTTTTTTTTAAGAATCAGATACTGATTTTCTTCTTCTGACCTTAAATCTGATGTCTTTTCCCCCACCAGGAAAACGAATTCCACAAACAACCACAAAGACAAAAATCTACGCCAGAGAAACACAAATTGAAAGTATTGCTTATGTAAGTCTGTCTAAAATGTGATAGTTTTGTAAACTACCATTTTTTGTTTATTTTTTAAAGCCAGAATAAAGGAACTAAGGGCTGACTTAACTGGAGAGAAGCAACCTGATCTGTCATGGCATTGGGCTTGGGCCTGGCTTTTGAAATGGGTATGGGCAGGATTAAATGAGTAGGATATCTCAGAATGGTTAAAAAATTTTGGAAGATGCAGAATCTGTATTTTAAGAGCCACTTTCTAGATGGGGCTGTATTTCCTTTGAAAAGACTGGGTGTGTAGAGTCCTAGCCCTAGAATTAGTCCTGTAAACTGAGGTGGTGGCTGTGTCCAGGAATGTATTTCAACAGCCTTGACTGGGAGAGAGAGAGCAGATCAGTTGTGCATCTTCTGGGCACATCCATATTGGATTTCTACAGTGTTCCCTCACATCTTCTGGAGTGCTGCACCAGGACCAAGCCATGGAGACAGATCTCCCACGCCCCCCCCGCATGTACTACACACACACACATACACACACTTGCACACACAGGTGTCCCCGCCCACCCACACATGGTCCCCACCCACCCCCAACCAGGCCGTAGTTCAGAAAAGGTTGGGGACCATTGCCTTAGAGGGAACATTGGATTACTATCATGTGACCTACTGTAGTGTGCTTTGAAAAAGCAACTGAAAACTTCACAATACAGTGACTATATTGGGGTCTAAAGCCTGTTTTTGTTCTCCCTGCACTGGATACCTGCCGTATTTTTCGCTCTATAAGACGCACCTCTCCATAAGACGCACCAAATTTTTAGGAGAAGAAAACAGGAAAAAATAATCTGTTTTCTTCTCCTAAAAATTTGTGGAGAGGTCCGTCTTATGGAACACACCCTAGGACCCTTTGGAGGCTCACCCAGGCCCCCCCAAGGGGCCAGAGGGGTCGGAATCACCACCTTCAGGGACTCTTCTGAAGCTTCCCAAGCCTCAAGAGTCCCTGAAGGTGGTGATTTCACCCCCTCTGGCCCCCGGGGGGGGGGCAGGGTGAACCTCCAAAGAGTCCTGGAACACACACTACAACCCTTTGGAGGCTCACCTTGCCCCCCTCACGGGGCCAGCGGGGGCAAAATTGCCAGCTTCCAGGACCCTTTTGAGGCTTCCCTTCCCTGGAAGGCAGACACGGACCCTTGGGAGGCTCCCCCCACGGGGCCAGTGGGGGCGAAATCACCAGCTTCACTCCATAAGACGCACAGACTTTCCCACCCACTTTTTGGAGTGGAAAAAGTACGTCTTATAGAGCGAAAAATACGGTATTTGTTTTCAAGTGCAAGTCAAATTGTGGCATCTTATCTATGAAATGGATGTCCTCTTTTTGATTACAGTAGGATCCCCATATTGACAGATCAGTATCTATGGTTTCACATATCACCCAGTATGAAAATATTAAGAATATTAAAAGAAAAAGCCCAGAAATATGCGTTCCCACAATATAATTACCAGAAATGGCCACTAGAGGGAATCAGAGACTGATTTATATAGGGTTCACTATTATCCACGGTATTCGGCATCTGCGGGGGCTTTGGGCCCAATCTCCCGTGGATACTATGGTCCTACTGTAGTTGCATTTATATCCCACATTTACTGTGGTGAATTTAAGATATCATACATGGCATTCTTCCTCTTTATTTTTTCTCATGGGCTCATGAGATGATCTGACCAAGAAATACTGCATGTGTGAAAGTTACTTATGGCTCAGGTGGGATCAAAATCTGGATGTCCCACTCATGTCTGTCACTTTTTAACCACTATACCGCTTGGCTCTCTGCTTTCATAGTGCCAGATTATAAACTATCTAGTAAGGTGTAGTTAGGTCTTTCTCTTAAGCTGCAGGTATGCTAAGACATTGTGATTCCTCAGATTTAGTGGCTTTTATCTTAATGTTTTCCATTTTGTTTTAGCCTGCTTTTATGACAGGTTTAGTAATTTTTGGATTATTTTGCAAAGTTTTCAGTTGAAACCTGGGTTCAAATCCACATTCAGTTGTACAGCTCACTGGGCCACTCACACACTCTTAATCAGGGGTTGTTGTCAGGATAAAAAGAAGGGAGAAATCTATGTTTGCTACCCTTTCGCTGGAGAAAATAAAATGCAATCAATCAATCAATCAATAAATTTTAAATTGTATTTATTGTTCATAGCTCTTGGTAATTCTGTAAACCACATAACAGATATTTAGAATTATAAAGGTAAAGGTTCCCCTTGACAATTTTTGTCCAGTCGTGTTCGACTCTAGGGGGCGGTGCTCATCCCCGTTTCCAAGCCATAGAGCCAGCGTTTTGTCCGAAGACAATCTTCCGTGGTCACATGGCCAGTGTGACTTAGACACGGAACGCTGTTACCTTCCCACCGAAGTGGTCCCTATTTATCTACTCGCATTTGCATGCTTTCGAACCGCTAGGTTGGCGGGAGCTGGGACGAGCGACGGGCGCTCACTCCATCGCGTGGATTCGATCTTACGACTGCTTGGTCTTCTGACCCTGCAGCACAGGCTTCTGCGGTTTAGTCCACAGCGCCACCACGTCCCTATTTAGAATTATAGCATTTATAAATTGTTATAGCTGTCTTGACAGTAAACATTGATAAAAGCCTCAACAAATGTTTGGACTGAAGACAGGCTTCAGAAAATATTTCTGCATTCAGTGTTCTTCCTAACTCTTTCTTAGTTGATAGAGAGATGAGAAAATAAGTTGCATAAGAAGATGTAAAGGCAACTTGATTTGGGGTTTTTGCCAGTGTCATCCTGTATCTGTTGTATGAAAGTAGGAATCCTCTTGGCCTAGTGGGATTTAACCCTATATAAGTGTGTGTAGTATTGCAACCTCATTCAATGTTAATAGGACATGTTATGTGTAGGGTATAATTAACTGCTAACTGTTCTCATTTTCAGAGCTTTAAGTTTGAGAGACTGATGGAAATATCACCTGCTAAACTGAATAATTGGAATGGTTGGTTTTCAAACTCCAGTCCTATCTCTTATCTCTGACGTTTTTTCTTTAAAGTGAGCAACAATGACTGTCTAAAGCATGCCTTATTTAATCTCTCCTTGTAAGAATGACCTAGCTGATACATTTAATAATGCTTCAGTATAAAGGGTGTAAACTATTTTGGGCTTGATGTGCTGTGAATGTTGCTTTTTTCCCCCTTCAAGAATATTAAGTATTACAAGTAAAAAATCCAATCTTGCATGCAGCATTTTTTACTTAATGTAGCTGTTAAAATTAGCAAAGCTCTAAGATGCACTGCTGCCATCTAGTGATAACTTTTGTAAAGTACAGCAGAACCTAAAATATATACAGTTATATATTTATATTTTGGGGGAGGGGAACCAAACTACATTAAATGTTTTGATTTTTCAGCTGCTAAATTCATTCCTTTTATTGTATGTCTGAGAGCTGAGAGAATTATTTCCAGTAGGTAAGAGATATAATATAAATTGAACTTTATCCTAAGGGCTTAATCTATATAGAAAGACTTAGATGTATTATAATCAAGGATTGCAAGAGCTGGAATAGTTCTATAGAAGGTGATGAAGGAGGTGATAAAGTAAGACACTTCAGTTTATAAATATTATTATGATTGCTTTTTAAGTGACTTTTTTGTTAAATCATGTAAATTTCTCATCTTTTTGCACTGATGTGTTCACGTTCTTGTACATTCAATTCAGGCAGAATTTTATAAATTTGTTTTTCTTTTGTTTTAATGATGTTGATATGTTACGGCATGGTGATATTCTATGCAACTGGTTTGTTTCAATTAGACATTCATTTTTCATGTTGATTTAAAGACTGATTGTAGAATCACAGACCTAGCAGGAATCTTAGACTGTGGCAATACCTGTAGATGCATGATTTTGTGGTGTGTGTGCTTGTCGAAGTGCAATGTGTATTAAAAAAAAGTGAATTCACCTGTTTTTGAAAATAAAATACTGGTAAAAGGTTTGGCTTTGCTTCTTAGTTTTCCCCTCCAACTTGAATGTTGACAAGACGTTTAACTATGAATACATAAAAGTGCCCTAGACCAAGTCTTTAGTAGGGCTTCTAAAGCAGGACTGTATGTTCAGGATGCAAGAATAGTCTCAGATTTTCACATTAAAGAAATGTGTAACTACTGTGATATGTACTGTGCCAAGACAATACTGAAAACACCAGAACTTTTTTTTGTCAGTAACAGCATTTGCTAAATAGATTGTGCTTTTTGTGCAAAAGAACCCCCCCCCAACCCTGTACTTTCTGTGTATGAATATATATGTATTTCTATGCAGAATAAAAGGTTTTATGCAGAAAATAGAGAATTTTTGCACAAATACCACTTGTGTGATCCTCCCCCACAAAGAAATGTAAAACATGTGCTAGAACTCTTTCTGTCTCATCCACTGGGCAGAAAACCTCTGAAATTGTTTGTTCATCCTTGGAAATAGGTGAAAATTATCTACATCCCCACCACGTCTTGCTAGGTTGAGGAGTTTGTGGACCTTTGGAGATGTTGGACTGCTCTCCTCCCCCAATCCTACTTCATTATTGGTTACACCGGCTGGGGCTGATGAGAGTTGCACTCAGCATCTTCTAGAATGATCACATATCCACACCTCACTTTGCTCTGACTGCAGGTCTCTAGAATGTCAAGAGGGTGACCCTTCCCTATATCTCTATTGGAGATCCTGTAAGTTAGATCTAGGCACTTCTCACACACACACACACCAAAATGTTGCTCTCCTACAACTTGCATCACCCTGCCCAGAAGAGCCAGTTGTGAGGGATTGTGAGAATTGTAGTCCAGCAATATTTGGAGAGCCTGCCTTGCTTTAAGTGGCAATTTCAGGGATTGAATTTGGGACCTTCTGTCTCTGACAGTATCCTGTGCTCACCCCTTACCCCCAGTGTTATTTCTCAGTTGCTTCCCTGTGTTTTTTGCAAATGCTAGGTAGCTCCCCGTTTTCAAGTCTGTCTCCTGATAAATCATTAAAATGCAAGAGGCAGCTCAGGGTACATGCCATAGAAGCTTACCAGATGGTGTCATTTCACAAAAGGCACAACTTTTTGAAGGTCTAAATTTGCTTTTTAAGTGGGCTTAAGATTCTTTCCCTTCAGTGTTTTCTCTTCATGAAATAAATTGTACAAATAGTGATATATTTAAGCACTCTTGATCTTGATGGTTTTTGTCAAGGTGAAAAGCTGTTCATTGTGTGTTCTCAGTACTAGGGAGCTCATTGTATGCATTTGCTTCCTTATTTCTTGCTTACTAGGCATTTTAGAACAGCACTTACAGTAGGATCACAACACCCCTGCCTAAGGCATATTGGTCGGTTGCGGCCTTTACCCAGTTACATGCACCACCCTGAAGGAACCCGAAACACATCTGCTCACAAGGCATTGTGCATTGGGCTCTTCTTCCCCCTCCCAAGTGCACAATCACAAGAGGGTGGTTGTGGGCTTCTCACTCCTACTGTCGCAGTAGAAACCCTTCAGCTTTCATCTGTGTGTTCAGCTGGTTTTTAAAATTAATGTTTATGTGTATATATTTTCCAGGTAAGAAAGTAGACATTGAATGCGGCAGGTGCTGCTTACTTTACCCATGTACTGTATGATTATGCAGATACAGTAAAGATGTTTCTCAAGCAATCCAAATGCACAGATGGCACAGAAAACATTTGTTCCATGACTCTTGGGGGTGGGAGGGGCTGTCTTAGTTTGGGGAGCTTTAACACATTCTTCAACACATGCCTCCTTGCAGTTTGAACTCACACCTCCCCTGCCCTAGTCCAGCAATGTAACTATTCACCACATGGGTTGGCAATTCAGCTGACATTCATTGCCCTGTAGCAGGTTGTGACGATGGTGCTGCAGCCATCCTGCACAACGTGTTTGAATGGGTGAACCTTCTGCAGGTTGCTGTCCCATTGTGCCTTTGTCGCTGCTGGGGATATTGCTGCAAACCAAATGCAAAACATATGTTGCCCATGTTACTCCAGAACCACAGAGGGAAATCCTTTCCAGGCTCTCAAATATACCTGCCTTGCATTAAAATTTTTTCCAGTGTTTCAGGTGTGTTTTTTAAGCCAGAGCCAATACATACAACTTAAACAGCTGTGCTGGTTGTTATGCAACAGCCGTCTTATAGATTGTTCTATTATAGCAATACCATGTGTATCTATTGCTTGCTTTCTGTAGCCTATAATCAGTCAGGAGAACATGAACTATTTCTTTTTATTATTCTTGGTGGCAGCGGTTTCCTTTCGGAGGTAACGTTTTAGGGGAAAGTATCTAATCTTATAAGTGCATGGTGTTCTAATATAAGCTCCACTACTTGAAATATCTACATTTCTTTTTAAAAAAATATGAAACTTTTAGAAATCTGTGGCAATTTGCAAAATAGTAATTCTACAATATTTCATTTTGTTTCCTTTGGAGTGCAGTACAAACTCGGTGAGCATTAATAGATTGGTTTTCATAAATCTTTTTCTAAAGTACATAATCCCACTGATTTAGCTCTTTGTTTCTTTGCGGATCAATCCTTGATGTGGGAGATGCGGGCAGATTTGGAACACAGAGAGGGGAGGCAAAATGCAGGGAAAACACAAAATTTCTGGGGGGCGGGGGAAGAGAATTAGACACACTTCCAAGAAAGAATGCACCTTAACATTCACATACTCTCCAGTTTCCACATATTCAAGAACTGCCATGTTTGTGACAGCCAAAATATTTTTAAGACTTGTTCAGTACCCATAATTTTGGGTCTATAGTCCTTCTGTTTTGGTCTGCCATCCATCTTTTCCTGTGCATAGCAAAAATCTATACAAAAATTGTGTTTTGTAGCAGCTGATGGGGTTGAATAACCCTTTTGGATGGCCAGCTCTTCTGTTTTAATCATGAAGCTATTACCTTCCCACTCGTACCCATTTTTTAACTTTAAAAAAGCAAAATATGTTTTAAAAATTCCCTATGCTGCATAAAGCACAGAGAATGTATTTGTGAAATTATGGGGGGAGGGGTTGTTGGGACGTTTGCCCCCAGGGCAGAGCAATGTTGCAACAGCAACCTTTGTACCCCGCTTGGGATTTGTGAGGTTAAAAGGACTGAATTGGGAAAAATCAAAAGTAATACAGTAGATGGAGCTGCTGGTGCCGAATGAAAAGGTGTAAGACAGCTGAACTCAATAAACCCAATATCTCCTATGGACACTAAAGCTTTAGAGAGAGTTCAGACTGAGCTCACTTGATGGTATATGCCCCCCCCATACAGCCACTCTGAGCCATTTTGCAAAGCTGTGTCACTTACGTTCTGTATTTTTTTTTCTCTCATGCAATTTACTAAAACTTACTGAACTGCTGTTGCTCAGGTAGGATTGACTATGTGTATGGTTGTGGAAAGACAGCTGTTGTGTGGCTTTGCTTTTATGGGTCAGACAATTAGGGTGCTGCATAAGACTCCCCTAGATTATAGCTGTTTGAACCTATCCTGGCTCCCAATTCACCATTCAGGAACACACCAAAATATGTCACAGAACAGGTCAAAAAGCTACAAGTTGAGTTGAATCTAATCTTTATTGAGGTACAGTGCATGCACCACTAATACCCATAGCATTCTATAAGTGGGGAGGCTATGTGTTGACCTCTACAGAGGTAAGGTAAATGTAAAGGTTCCCCTTGACATTTAGTCCAGTCATGTCTGACTCTAGGGGGCTGTTTCCAAGCCATAGAGCTGGTGTTTGTCCGAAGACAATTTCCGTGGTCACATGGCCAGCGTGACTAGACACGGAACGCCATGACCTTCCCACCATGGTGGTTCCTATTTACTCACATTTTACATGCTTTTGAACTGCTAGGTTGGCAGGAGCTGGGACAAGCGACAGGAGCTCACTCCATCACATGGATTTGATCTTATGACGGCTCCTCTTCCAACCTTGCAGCATAGAGGCTTCTGTGATTTAACCTGCAGCGCCACCACGTCTACAGAGGACAGTCCCCTAATTAAAAGTGCCGGATATAGCTCCCAATTTACAGTGTCCTGCTTGAAGGGCTCTATTGAACCATAAAGAAGAAAAAAGGCTGAGAGCAAGTGTCCGGATGCCCTTAACAGCCACTGGTTGCTTTTAGTGCCATAAACACAATGAAGAAAGTTCAGCATCTCCTGGATAGCCACATGTTCCATTGCTTAGATCCAAATGTACCGATTCTTCTTCCACTCTTATCTACTGTGAGATAGGTTAAACTGAAAGGAGGTGACTTGCCAACATTAACTGGAACCTGGATTCTTCAGCTGTGGCCAACACTAACCTCTTCATTAGACCAACACAGAGAAATGGCTCAGTGGGGGAGGCGTATGCTTCTCATTAAGGAAGGGTAAAGGGTACCTCTGAGCATGCATGTATTTTCTTCCCATAGAGTCTGCAGCAGTAGAACCCAGCTTCCACTTATTGCACGCACAGCCCAGTATGTCCAGATATTATCAAGTCAGACAAGGAACACAGTACGAACAGCCTCAGTTGACAGCATGGCTGCCTTTTGCACAAATCAAGGCAATGTAGCTGCCACTTACGGTTGGAAAACCGGTTTTACACCCGGAAGACTGTGGTGTGAATTTACTTCACAGGAGTCATCCAGAGTGCTGCTGAACCTATTCTGGGGTTAAATTCAGCACCATGGATTGCTCCTGTAAGATGAAAACTAAAACTTGGGTTCTCAGCACCCTTGAGACAAGTCACCAGCTGCCACTATGGCCCTTAGGTTACTTGGGGGGGGGGCGGGGGGGGAGACTAGAGATATTTTAAAAGAGGTTATGGGGATTTCTAATGTTTCCTACTTTAGCTGAAGCAACACTTCTGGTCTTTATATTATATACCTGCTGAAGGTATATTCATAGAATTAGGCTTCCTATTCTTCACTGAAATTTGTCCCCTTGCACCCAGCTTTGATATGACTTGATATTCTTTATTGTGTATG